TATAAATGAACACTGTCCTATTAGATAAGGAGATACTAAATCAGTTAAATCAAGTCTACTCATTAACATGTCATTCCTTATCTCCCCTTTTCAATCCAGGCATAAAGTGGATGCTGGGATGTTTTATCTCTTCAGATGCTAAAGAAAGCAGCATTAATATGAAAAGTCTCAGTAATTCAGCTTTGGAAATGTTAGTTATACTGCAGACAAATTGTACAAAAGCAGCAGCAAGTGGCATGCAAATCCTTCACTCCCTGCATCTGATTAACTTGCATTAAGTCTAGGGTGGAGGGAACAGCCAAAAGGCTTTCCATTTATTTCCTGAAACAGGTCCTTGACTTTTCTATTTCTTTACAAGACAATATGCCCAAGCATCCTATCATTTTAACCACAATAAGGTTGCTTCTTAAATTTATGTTTCATTTTATTTTCATCAGGAAATTAAATGTATATACAGAATTCCTACATAGTTTCCAGATCTCTGGCACCCATATTGGTACCTATGTGGTACATATGAATAAAAGAGATGGGTTTGTATCATGAACCAATCCCACTGTCTTACCTGCTTTGACACCCACACAGTTGATACTGCTGTTTCAAGCTGAGTCTTGGGAGCATAGGAAGCAGGCTTGTCACTGACACTAACTGGCAGGGACTCTTTAGGTTTTCTAAAGGAAATATTTCCCATCACACTTGGAGTTGCCAGAGATGAAACTTGGAACTATTTTATTATAAACTCATCTAACCAATTTCATAAAGACTTTTGCATGATATATCTTTGGACTATTGCCATGGATATTACAGAAAATATTAATTCAGAGTTGTTTTTTAATGATTCATTTTGTCACCAGAACACTACATGTTTATTAAACATACTTATTTGGAATTTTACTCTTTCTTGACAATATATAAAGCTTGTTGCTCAACAGATTATTATTGTTCATTGTAGTTTGCAGAAGAAATTTCAAACCATAATTTGTATTATAATAACAAATACAACATAGTAATTAATACATACAGTATATTATGCTGTTATATTTTTGTTACATATATATTGTTTGATATTTTGAAGTGAAGTGGGGTATATTTCAAATTGTGAACAATCCAAATGTCTTGAAGAGGAGGAGAGATTCATGTGTTGACCCTATGCACTTGTTCTAACTTCCAATCTGTAGTGGAGAGCCTATTCTACTAAGTCCTCGAGCATTCACATAATTGAGGACCCAGATTTTAGAATTTAGGAAGAATTTTCATGGACAGTAAAGACTCTTCACTACAGATGATTGACCTCTATCTACATATAAAGAATGACATAAAAGGGCTGACATCTGGATAGACTTTAAAAATTTTAGTGAAATCAATTTGTACACAAATTAAAATATTAGAGGAAGATGATTTTTATTTCCATGACTCTATACGGAAGATTGGTTAAATTAATTCGAGCAACTTAGACTATAGATCTTTATAAAACCTGAACAGACTTTGTCATTCTGAATTGTAACAACCATATAAAACCATATTCATACATTGTCCAATAATTTCCATCACAAAGACAAAGGGTCCAGTGCAAAAATAATTGTTTATAATGATTTTACATTCATGCAAAATTTCAATCATAAAAATTGAATACTAACAAATTTCAATCATTAAACTGAACACTGACTATTTTGATTCTCTGATATCAATCAGTATGCTATACAGGACCAATTATGTAACTGATTACATAGCAAAAATATATTTTGTTCTTAGATATTTAATTATCATCACTGTCATGCATGTCATTCATACAAATACACAAAGTTAGAATATATAAATTTATGGTACTGCAAGTTTAAATAGACATGACAAAATGCAGTATTGCTTTTTTGATAAGAAGTAACAAAAGAGATAAAAATATATCACTTTAAAAATATAGAAACTGAAACATACATTTGTGAATTCTAAAAGACAAAAAAAATTAAAGCTTCATTCTTAATTTCTGTCACTCAACCTCTTTCCCATTGCACTGGGAGGCAGGCACACCTGCTGCTTTCATAGTTAGAATAACAATAAGAGAATGGAAAGAGATGTCTGCTCCCCCCCCCTTTTTTTTTCTCTGACTCTCTTTTAATTTCTTGCTGAGAAAAAAATGGGCTGGAGAACATGTAAAGGGATTTTGAGCAACAGAATATGTTTGAGACTTAGGGTAGAGGCAGGTTTTTGATATACAAAAGAAAAGCAATAGATAAAAGTAATCAGAATAAACTCAATTCACTGTTATGCAACATTCATCACAATCAGCAACAGCATAGTTTACAGTGATTTATTAGAGGTTAAGTGTTTAAAATTGGTGTGGCTTTAACATTGTACATAAACTCAACCCCCCCCCCCCAACTCTCTTACCCATAAAACTCGCAGGTCTGATTACCCAGCAATACCGACACACTGCTGCCAGCTCCCAGAAAATGGCCAGTAATGGTCACCATAGTCCCTCCTGACTCTGGTCCACGGCTGGGACTCAAATAACCCACAGCAGGATTCTTGGGAAGGAAAACAAAACAAAATAAAATAAAACAAGTTCAATTGTTTTGCTGTGATGTTATTCCAGGTGATTGTACAGCAAGACAAGAGGGACCTTTAGGTGAAGGGTTGAAATAGATGAATATATAAACCTAAGAAGTAATTAATTAATTACTTTTTCATAATGGTACTGACCAGATTGTACAACCGAACAAGTTACATATAGTTTCTGTTTCAAGTAAAGTGAACTGCAGATGTTACAATTGTAACAACATCATCTAAATGAGCAAGGCATGTTACATTTTTACAGACAATATAACAAATGAAATGATATAGAGTCTCCTGCTTAAGCAGGGGGCTGGACTAGAAGACCTCCAAGGTCCCTTCCAGCTCTATTCTGATTCTGAAATTTTTGTCACATTCAGGAAAACTGAATTCTACTAGTTTGTCAGTAAAAAGATGTGCTATATATAAAACATTTCAGAACTGTCTGGGTACTTCATCAAACAGGGAGTTATAAAACAGGCCTTTGCATTTTTATAAAAGATACCATATATCAGAACATGAACTGCAGATTATATGGGTCCTTCTCCATTAGGTACAATCTTAGTTCATATAGTGAAGTGATTTTTCTCCAACTTTCTATTTGGACTGCAGTGTTTTTCATAGAAACTACCAACATTACTGTCTAACTGGCTGAGGAGTTTGGCAGCTTTTATTCAACACATCTGGAGGATATAAAGTTGGTGTGACAATATGTAAGCAATCTTTGTGCTTTTATTTTATTTTAATTCTTGAATGTATCATTTGTATATGAAGCATTCTATTTTCTAGAAACAAATATCAGGATGTGACAGAACACAACTTCCACCAGCTGTCTACTAACAATTGAAAATAAATTGTATTGCAAAGAGTAACAATGATATCATCAAATTTTCAAAATTTCAGAAGGAAGCTCAGCATCCTGATGATATTCTCATCTATTCTACAAGTCCATAGATGAAGATCAGAAAGGGAAAGAAATATACTGTAAGTCAATATTTGGCTAGTCAACAGGATAGTTTCTGGAAACATGGTTGAGTTATCTAGATCATGGCTACTCAGAAGAACTGGTGAAAATATGTTTAGCCAAAGTACAGT